TATGCCTAAAATTTGCTAATTTTGAACCCAATCTTGAAGTTCTGCATCAAGTAATAGGAGAAATTTTACCTTTCGTGGAGGTTTTTTAAATGGAATTAACCCGCATTTGCGTTACATGGAGATGAAAACCACGAAAGCATCACATGGTTTTCATGGGTATTAGTATCGAACAGTCATTGCTGGGATTCGGTTCACCTCATTGGAAGGCGAACTCCCTGAACCACCACGGCCTCGCATTTATGATATTAGCTGAGCCAATGTCACGCCAAAAAAAAAAAAAAAAAAACTTTATAGATGTTTACAAATAAAAATAGGATCATAGGATTAAAATAGGCCAGTTATTTAATATTATTAGCATTTTGGGAGGTGTAAAGTGTAATGACAGTTGGAGAAAAAGAACGAATTCAGAACTTTATAGGATCTACAAAGAGTCGGACATAATAAAATTTCTGTCAGTTTAAAGACTAAAGTGGGCAGGATACCTGATTAGAATGAATGATAACCCGGCCATCAAAAAGATCTTCGACGCAAAACCATTAGGAGCTCGAAAAAGGGGAAGATCAAAAATCCGGTGGATCGACTCCATAGAAATTTTTTTTAGAATTTTTAAATTTATAAACTGGAAGAGTCTATCCAAGAAGCGGGCAGCTTGGAACTTGCTTCTGAGGAAGGCCATAGCCCACCCTGGGCTTGCATGCCATTGAAGAAGAAGATTTTTTTTTTAATAATACCCTTAACAACAGAATCAGATAAGTAATATTTTACTGTGAAAAAAGTATTAGAAAAAGTAATTTAGTGTTTTAATGCACGCTTTGATAAGTTTGATGCAAAAAAGTAACCTATTATTATTTTTTTAAAAAATAGATTATAGTAAATACTTTAAACTTGCTCATTTACCCTAAAATAATTTTCCAAGCATTTAAGTATTTTTTAAAGTTTTCATGAAATATTTCTATTACAAAATAGCCTTTTCTTATACGCAAAGTAAGGAATTTTTCAAAGAATTTAAAGTACGCAACGGCGATAGTTTTGTTTTCATAAATATATATTGTTTAAAATAATCTGATCCGGTTGAAAAAGTTTTTTAGAGCTAATTTTAAATACTCTTAGAATATAATTTTTCGCTAATGTTTAATATAACCTTTTGTCAATATAACCACTAATGTTTAATATAACAGTCGTAGTTCCTGGGCTTTTAACCTTTTTCTGATTTTAAATTTTAAATATTGGGTTTTTTAATCATGTCTTGGCCCGGTTTTGGGTCATGATTGTAACTACTTATTCCATTGTTTTAATGTGTGATGTCATAATGTTACTTTTTAACTTTGGGACTATTTTAATCTTTCCTTCTTGAGACTTTATATTTTTTATGTTTTGTATTCTTCTGATTTTTTTAATTGTGTGAAGGCCCGTATTGGGTTTTGATTTTAACTGCTGGATCATCTGTGTAAAGTGTACGATGTATTAATGGTGATGTTTTGATTGACCATCTCTACTGGCCCTGCGTGGCCATGTTGATTTTGTTTGAGCCTTTAGCTCATCTTATAAATGATCAATCATATGCTTTGTATTGTAGAGACACCACAATTGTCGACAAATTTGGGGATGATCTTGTGCAGGTTGGTTTTAACTTTTGAGCCCCGGTTTGTCTTAAATATAGTGTCTGTTGACCTTATCTTAAGCTATAAAGTAATAAGGGTCTGTTGGGCCAAATATCTTTTACTTTAAATTCTATAATGGCTCAATTTTAGCAGATGTCATTGATGTTATACCTTTTTAGTGTTGTTACTTGTGATGTTGTACTTTTTCTGTCGAGCTGTTGCCACTGACATCTGTGATTTTAAAATAATTGTTGTTGATATAATTTCTGGTGTTTTATGTATGGTTAATATATGTTTTATGTATCTGCACTCGTATGCCCTTAAATAGGGCAGGTCGAGTTATAATTAAACAATAACCTTTTGTCAAACTATGAATTGTCCAATTTAGGTAATTTAGTGTTCAAAAAAAATTGTAATGCATTTAGTTCATGTAATATATCACGCCTGTTTTATATAATACGAACAGAATATCCATTCTTCGCAAACAATCAATAAATCAGTACTAAATAACACTACGAAATCATACATAAAACTGAGAAACATATACTAATACAATTAAGAAAACTAAAATAATTCAAATTTTCTTATTTATTATTATTTTTTGCCCTTACCAAAGTGAATGAAACAATACACGCTTTTAATAGTTTATCCCATCAAAATAAAGATCAACTGTATTCAGTATCATTTGTTTTGCTCGAGGCTTACTCATGCTTATCAATAGTTATCACAATCAAGCTATTTTCTCTGTTCCTTATCCTTTTCGGAATATGCCCGTAAAAAACTTTTTTTTCCACAGTATCCATAATAAAACTGCACAGTTTTGAGGCAGTTTTAATAAGTAGCAAATATTCTATTTCTCGCTATATTAGCGTGCTCAGTACCCATTAAAACTGCACTAATTACCATTTAACCGAGAGTTTCTATTACCAAACTTAATTAAGTAATATTGGCGTCTATAATGGTATGATGATTTTTTATATTTATCCCAAACTAATTAGCTTCTCTATAAATTTTTAGAGAATCTTTAGAGAATAGTTTACATTTCTTATTTAAATTAGCAACTATTAAAAGAACTTACTAATCATCACTGACATCATGACAGTATGACGATTTTTTACCACTCCTTTTGACAAAAACATATTTTTTTTACATTAACTTTGCTTTTAACCACGCAGATTATTTTTTATTTCGATTAGAACTTATTACCAAAACTAATGAAACATCATTGAAGCCAATATTAGTATGGAGATTTTTTGCGCATCTTCTAAATTACTTGTACCATTTCCGTTACTTTTTGTTAATTTTACTCATTACCAAATTTATCAAGTATTATTGGCATCAATAATACGCTGTCTACCAAGAAGTATTTGGACACGTGTGATTGAAAAGAAATATTTTTTTATACATAATCAATAGTTGGTATAGCCTCCACGAGAGGCAATTACAGCGTGAACCCTCCGGGGCATACTTTCCACAAGTCGTTGTGTGACGGCTAGTGGTATTTTTTTCCACTCGGCTTGGAGAAGACATGTAAGTTCCTTCAACGATTTTGGACGGGTAGTACACCCCTTAATTCGGCGATCCAACTCGTCCCAGAGGTTCTCGATAGGGTTCAAGTCTGGGCTCTGGGTAGGCAAGTCCATTCACTTAATCCCATTGGCACCATACCAAGCTTTGGTGACCCTCGCAACATGACAGCTGGCATTGTCGTCCTGGAAGTAACAGGGGTCCATCCCGTAAAACTGCCGCAACGTAGGAAGCACATTGTCATCCAAAATAGTGCAGTAACCTTGCATGGGACTAATGCCGATGTTGTTCCCTACACGATATATACCAGCGGAGGGCGTGGCGTATCTCAGGACCGCAGACATAGTCAATTGCATCGGTGTCCAAATACTTATAGGTAGATAGTGTAGTATGATAAATTTTTATGTTTCTTCTAAACGAATTGGTACATGCATTAATTTTGCTTTTTAGTACATAACTTATTTTTTTCCCTTCTTTCAAAAACCGTAGATTTCAAATTATTTAGTTTTATTGAGTCGCCTTTATATAGCATAACTATGAACAAAATAAACACGTGGTATCATATAACTTTCGAAATAACAACTTTGTAAAGCAGTCCTTTTATGACCACATATTTATGTTAATAATTGAGTTTAACAGACATTAAAAATAGTTAGATTTAAACGTCGTGCAAAAAACTCTTTTTTCTTATTATTGAGAGTCATAAGCTGGCAACCATAAGCTAGCAAAAATATTTTTAAAAAAATCTTCTACAGTCTAATTTATATGAGTGGCGAGTTCTTCTCTAAAATTATTTCTTTAAGATTTTTCAAGTAGTTTTACTTTTTACTACACGGCTTATTGCTTTCGTTTAATTATAGCTAGATTAATTTTTACTGAGCACTACTTGAACGAAAAAAAAAGAAGGAAGAAGAAGCTATGCACTATAAAGCAAAATTAGTGGAGAAATAGTACAAGTAATTTAGAAGATGCATAAAAAACTCCTATTCCTATTGACGCCAATGATGTCGTTGTGGTACTAAATTCTAATTGAAATTAAAAAAAAAAAAAAAACACTAAAAAGCAAAGTTAATGGACAAATCTTAGTGGATCGCAAAAAATTATCATACTGTTATTAACGCCAGTGATGATTAGTTAGCTTTTATAACAGTTACTAATTGAAATGAAAATATAAACGATACACTAAAAAGCGAAATTAATGGTGATGTTGTTCTAAGGATAAACGTAATAAATAACCATACTATTATTGACGCCAATGATATTTTAGTTTTGGTGATACGCACGACAGTTATAATGATAATTGGTGCAGTTTTAATAGGTTCTAAATACACTATAGTACAGTTTTAAATATAGTACAGTTGTGCATAAATATAGCACAGTTTTTATGTAAATATGGGATAAAGAGGTTTTTTACGATCACTCAAAAGAGAGAAATTTGTTTGATTTTGTTCGATTTGTTTGATTCGTGAGTAACTTCGAGCAACAGTATCATTCCAAATGAATACTGTTAATTTTTATTTTGATGGGGTGAAATACTAAAAGCGTTTTTCATTTAATCTAATAACATAAAGCCATCGGAAAAGGCGAAATACGATATTAAATAAATAAAAAATTGGAATTATTTTAGCTTTCTTGATTGTGTTGGTATATGTCTTTAGGTTTTGTGCATGATTTATTAGTGATGTTCATAACCGATTTATTGATTATTTTCTTTTTCTTCACTCAGTACGAAGATCGGGCATTCAGTTAGCTATAAAATAAAACAGTAGAGAAATAAAAATCAAAGGGGAGACAGACAACTACAAAGCAAAAAAATTTACAAAATAATGCATTGCATTGATCAGTCTAAACCATATGAATATGACAGACACAACAGTATCAACATGAGTTTTAATTCTTGAAAGTATTTCTTATATCTAATTTTTAAGAAACAAGAATGACAGAAATTGTAAAACTCTTCTAAAAGATATTTCAGTCGTTTGAAAGAGATGTACAGTTAAAAAATGAAGAAGGCGGCAACAAAAATACAAAGGAGCTTCGTTTTTTTTTCTGTTGATTATTATTATTTTAAAGCAGGCTAATCACTTGTTATTTGCAGTATAAAAAAATTTTCTCAACTCATTTTTTTTAATTTCACTTTTTTGAAGAAAAAAAAATTGTCTTAACAACTGTAAGAATCATCAAGTTATGTAGTTAAAACACGAAAACTTTAATTGTAGCTATATAGCTAGCGAGTGAAAGTCTCAGGTCGAATTTAACACTTACTCTTTGAACCTTACATAAAAGGTGAGATAAAAATTACTTTCACATAATGAACCAGCCGTACAAAAATATAGTCACTTCTAGATAAATCATGAGGTGAGACAGTGATATTTTTGTTTATTTTCTTATTCTCATTTTAGTGTATTTTATACATAAGTGTATTTTAGCATTTAGGGCAAAAGCAGTTTAGTGAGCATTTTACTGTTGCCACCCGTATTTTTCAAGAATCAACAGCAATTTTGATTAGGGTAAAAGAGTAGGAAACCAGTTTCATGAGCATTTACATCCTATAACATCTTGATTGGCAGGCGAAATCACTGGAACTGAACGCCGAGAAAATAGGTGGGGCAACGCACTAATCCAATACCTTCTAGGAGGTATTGACTAATCCCCACAGATTGCTATATTTGTGAGATCAAATTCTCCGTGAGTGACCTAAACTGGATGCGACAGAACAGGCTAAACCTTGTAAATTCACTTCTTACCCGAATCCAGGTGATTATCAAGCCCAAGAGTGATTATGCAGTACTCAATGAAACTTTTTTCAATGTTATTTTTTTAAGTTTAACTATTCTTTGTTCCGTGAACTTACAAATAAATTAATTTCTTCGAAGTTTATGGTAGAGTACTATAATAAGCAAAGCACTATTTTTTTTAGACGTTCTTAAGTAGATTCAGAACAAAGTCTGAGAAATAAATATTGATTTCTAATCAGTAAAAGTCAGCAATCCTTTTCTTTACGCCAAGCTATAAACTTAAAAAAAATGTCAGGCACTGTTTGCTTCTGTATTAAACAAGACACAACAAATCCGATCATTCTGCATCTTTCTAATGAAGTTCTGTTAAATGAAATTGTGCTCCTCCACCGTAGGCTGGATTCTGGTAGGTGGTTTCCACTTCCTTGTACAGTGGATTTGTATGCTGAAATGCAAAGAAATACATAATATTTACATATATATATATATATATATGTGTGTGTTTTTTTTATGGAATGCACAGGTGCAGAATTTTAAATTGTTAACACAATATTTGAGCCAAGTCAACCAGGTGGCCGAGTGGTTAGCGTGTCTGACTGCGGAGCCAACTGTTGCGGGTTCGAATCCCACTCAGGGCATGGGTGTTTCTTTCTCTCTCTGTGTTCTAGGTTCTTTCTTCTGTGTGATTGTGTGAATGTAACTCGCCCTATAAACGGGTTTGTGGTTGTATGACGTGGGCGACGCTACTCCACCGCCGTGGCTTAGCCATAGGTGCTCACTGGGTAACGATAAGAGAGTAGCAATTCTGGCATTTCTGAGGCCAATGGGAAATAGACCCAAATGCCCGACATTAACCAAAAAAAAAACTTTTTTTTGAGCTGAAATAGAATAGGAGACAAAGTGTTCAACTTCTAGCAGAAGAGATATACTGACTATAATTGATCCACATACTAAAAATAGCATAAAAGATAACTAATAGTTGAACCACTCGTACCTGCACCAATCTCAACGATGACATGAAACAGACCAATATCTCCTAAAAAAGAGAAGATCTCAGCACAGTTTAGCATAAACAAGAAATTTGATCCTTTAATAATTCAAACACAATGAAATCTTTCGTGTTAACCACAACTGCGCAGCTTAGTAGCCCGAACGTAGCGACATCTTTCTTATTTTTCCTCCACTGCGCAGTTTATGTTCGTTACGTTGGACTACTAAATCTATCCGTACTGAAGTCTCCTTTCTTCCAGGAGGTGTTGAACAGACCCTGTATGGCTTATAGATAGAGTCCCTTAACCATCAAGTAAATCAAGAGGGGGTATGAGGTCGTGATTTCTTCATTCTATGCAACTCAAAAGCTCAGATATATGTACTCTCATAACTTCTCATTTTATACATAATTTTAGTTATCTATGCAAAGTGATATAATATAATTTATATACCCGGTAGATTAAGATCAATCCAACAAAGCAAGTTTTTGGAAATTTTTTATGCAAACTTTCAACAGAAATAGGCTTTCAATCTTGGTAATAAAGTTGAAAAACTAAATCATATTTATACTATATGTGATTATTTAACAAGCAATGATGCTGCTATGAAAATAAAAAAAAAAAGTAAAGCATTTCCTCAACAGCCCGTAGTGGACCAAGGGGGTCATGGAGGATAATGTGTGACCAACGGCATGATGTGGCACTGCACACTGGCCGTCTTTACTTCACCGACAAGCTGGTACTCATAGATCTGAAGCTGTGTGGGCTTCAACCCGTCAGTGGGGATCGAACCCTAATTCTTCACAATGACAGCCCAATGCCTTAACCACTAAGTCATCGAGGCTCATAGAGATAAAGTGATAGCAAATTAAATATCTTACTTGGTTCCATTTTGCCATTTTAAGTTCCTTTTCAAACTTGGCCAATTCTCGTCTGTCATATACCACCGTTAGGGCTTTCCACAACATTAGTAAGAATAGACCCGTGGCCACGACTCCTCCAACTNTATTTTTTAATTCTGTTAGTTTTTTAATTATTTTATTTTTCAATTCTGTTATTTTTTTAATTATGTTTTAATTACCTAATTCATATAACAGTATTCAGGAATCTATAAATTTATGCTACGTATGGTCGTTGCAGAATAACCTGCACCCAATCTATGTAAATAAAATATATTTTTAAAATTGTGCATTTTCTATTAATTGCATTTATTATTCTTATACTGAAAGAGTATCAAGGTATCTATGACCTCCATAATAAATGAAGTATTTACGGACGTTTATATATATTAAGGAATTGAGTCAATTTTTCACGAAGTTTAAGATCTCATCCCATTGAAAAAAGAGTTATTTAATAAATATTTTTTTACAATAAATGCTTCTAGTAATAAAACAAACGCGATATAGATCATTGAAGAAAAATCCCTTCATTTGTACATTTTTCCCTTCTTGAAATTATTTCACATATTTCTTTTTTCACCAGCGAATTTCCGATTACTTTAAAATTTTAAAAATATCGATTTTTTTCATTTGCAAGAAATTTTTACTTTAAAGCGTGATAACATTTTTGAATACTCCAATTTTCTTTTCTAATAAATAATATGTCTTTGTTAATTTCTAAAAAAAATGTTCATAAAAAAGTTTACATTAATCTTTTATGAAGATTGATTCAACAGAGAAAATCACTAAATTAAAACAGGTTATGTTTTCTTACAATAAAAGTTAAATAGAATTAATTCTTTAAAATAGCGTTCCAATAAAACATGGTATTGAAATGTTACGTTATTTTTTGTGATTGGTCCAATAATAAATTATTTTTATTTCTTCACAAACACAATTCTTGTAAAAAAAATTAAATCTGTAATGTCAAAAAACTAGATCGTTTTATAAAATATAAATTATTGCGCTTAATAAATACAGTTTATTTGTAACGTGATCCTAAGAATAAAAAGGTTATTTTCCTTTTTAATTCTCTACTAAAATGAATTAATAAGTTATTTTTATTCATCATGGCTAGTCGAGGAGGAGAAAAAAAATATCGAATTTCACTGTTTAGGTTAATGCAATTTCGTTCTCCCACCACATTTACGCGTAATCCATCGCCAATTCCACTTGCAATCGCCTAGTTTATAATCTACGGTATGTTTTGTCAATTCGCACCCGGTAGATTAAGATCAATCCAACAACGCAAGTTTTTGGAAATTTTTTTATGCAAACTCTCAACAGAAATAGGCTTTCAATCTTGGGAATAAAGATGAAAAACTAAATCATATTTATACTATATGTGATTATTTAACAAGCAATGATGCTGCTATGAAAATAAAAATAAAAGTAAAGCATTTCCTCAACAGCCCGTTGTGGACCAAGGGGGTCATGGAAGATAATGTGTGACCAACGGCATGATGTGGCAATGTGGTCAGCACTGCACGTCTTTACTTCCCAGACAAGCTGGTACTCATAGATCTGAAGCTGTGTGGGCTGCAACCCGTCAGTGGGGATCGAACCCCAATGCCTTAACCACTAAGTCACAGAGGCTCATAGAGATAAAGTGATAGCAAATTAAATATCTTACTTGGTTCCATTTTGCCATTTTAAGTTCCTTTTCAAACTTGGCCAATTCTCGTCTGTCATATACCACCGTTAGGGCTTTCCACAACATTAGTAAGAATAGACCCGTGGCCACGACTCCTCCAACTACACCAGAAACAATGGCAACGATGGCCACTGGGACTGGACACTCTGGAAAAATTAAATAAATAAGCATACTTTCAGCTGTTACAAAAAATAAATAGTTTTATGAGTTTTCTCAAAACACTTATATATTTTCGATTCTTTCCCTGTGTCCTGGAAGTCATTTAAATACCCATTCTATTTCATTGCTTAGGAAAGAACTATCACGTAATCAAATAATCAGAATAAAAAATTATCTTTTTACCATCGTACCTTTGGGGAAAACAATGCTTTCAATACTCACCATAAGTTTTGTAAGCACGACGGAGTGATTAAAATTTATTGAAAGGATCGCGTATAAACTATTGTGACCACATTTTCGAGAAAATCAGAACTTCCGAAATGTACTCCGAAACATTAATGTAAATTTTGTGCCAAATTCTCACAGATTTGGAAAGCTTTCATTTGCTAATAAATAAACTTTTCCAGCAAACTGCTGCAATAGATTTAGTAAATATAATATGTTTAAATTTAATGCCGTATAAAGTCGCTAGAAAAGTTTATGGAGAACGAGTTTTTAAGAGATTTTTTAATTGTTGTTGTCTTTTGCAACTGGTCAATACTAACAAGCCTATTTTAAGGCAGAGGGGTGTGCATCTTTTGGTTTTCCAGTGGAGCCATCTAAGGCCAAGAATTCGAATTCTTCCACACAAATACGTCACAGTCCGTTTTACAAGGGGAACACATTCCCACACGATCCATCCGCCGATCATAATATTGATCTGAACCAGAAAATGATCAATCTACAATTCAGTAACCTTCGAGGTATTAATTTGTCATGGGAACTTGGAGGATTTTGTGACTCCGACAGATTTAACGTTCACCAGTTATCATTTAGTACACAGGGAGTCTTCAGCCGGCGGGGATCGAACTCACGATCTTTTGGGCATGGGACCAACGCCCTATCAGGCAAGCTACCCAGGCCAAAGTTTTTGGTTGTACTATAGATTATTTTTAAAGAGTAGTTAGTACTAATTAATTTTACAACCGTCGTTGAACAGCCGACCCAAATTTTAGGTTTACGACTACGAATATTCAACTCCGTTGCCTTATAATTTTGAGATAATTTTGAACCCAATCCAAAAGACAAGGGAACTCTTGGATCAAAAATTTTTAGAAATTTGCCTTCGTGGAGGACTTTTTGAAGGAACTAACCCGCATTTGCGTTACATGGAAAGGAAGACCACGAGAACCTCCCACGGCTAGCCTGACGGCAAGGGGATCCTAACCCATGATCCGTCTATCCCTCAGGATATTTCACGTCAGCACTGTGTTCGGTGCAAGCCGGATGCGGAATTCTTATAGACCAGCCATCGCCGGAATCGAACCCCGATACACTTCATTGGAAGGATAACGCTCTATCCCCTGAGCCATCGCGACTCAGTACTAACTAATTAGCATATCTTAAGTTAGCTCTTCAAACCACGAAATTCATGATATTCTTTGAAAACGGTGAATAACTTTTGATGCTTAGCTCATACACTATACAGGGGGGGTTAATTTTAAAGGACAGTTTAGATTAGGAAAAAAAAGGATATATGATACTAATGGAAATTTCACGTTTCCTTTTGAAACAAAATAGTGATGGATGGTTTGCGTGCTGACCGAATTTCATAGTTATTTTATTTATCTGAATCGAAGAAAAAATTACTTATATTTTCCAGAATAAAAAGAAAAATCCAATCAAACTTTGATCGAAGTTTGATTTGATTGATGTTTGACACGATACCAACAGCATCCTTTCACGTTGAAGCTCCGAATTTCTTAATGAACCTTAGTTATTACAATATAATATAATATAATATAATATAATATAATATAATATAATATAAACTCATGTTTGTGAAAATTGCAACACCAAGAAGGATTTACGCGTGTGAGCGGAAATTTTCAGGAAATGCAAAGTAGAGCATGATATGCAAATGATTAGAATTTCAGACCCGTAGCGCATGCGTATGATGAGCAGCGCCCTCAGAACGGCGGATGGATCCGAATAAATAGACGGCTGTAGCTAAGCGAGTATGGTTATCGGTGGTTATCTACTAGTGGTAAAAGTTAGCTTAGTCATTACTTATGCCTATTCGGCGAAAGAGAGCGAGATTTCAACAACTTACGGAGTTTTAAACGGGGGAGATTCATCGGCTTTCGTGAAGCTGGATTATCTTATCGTGCAGTAGCCGCTCGTGTGCAGCGTAACAGCAGCTCAGTGATGCGTGTTAGAAATCAGTGGTCGGACAACTCGGAAATCCGGGAGTGGACCCCGAAATGTCAAGCCAGCTCGCGATGATAGACACCTGTTCGGCGTTGCGCTAACGGGCCGTACGGCTCCCTCTAGACAACTGGCAGCACGGTGGTCAATAGGTACAGGTGTTTCATTGTGTGCTTTATCAATTCGTAGACGCTTGCTGCAGCGTGAACTGCGTGCAAGGACTCCTTTATGCAGGATACCCCTCACGCTAAACCTCCGCCGCATGCGGCTGCAATGGGCCAACCAGCATAGGGACTGGCTTGCTGATTGGCAGCGTGTCGTGTTTTCTGACGAATCTCGCTTCAATTTGTGGTACCATGATGGCCATATTCGTGTTACACGCTATGGCGGTGAACGCCATCTTCCGGAGTGCGTTATCGAACGCCACAGTGGACGGACACCCGGAGTTACGGTCTGGGGTGCCATAGCATATCACGGACGATCTCAATTGCTACGAATTGTGGGTAATCTGAACAGCAACCGGTACATCAGTGAAGTTCTACAGCCCCAAGCTGTTCCCTTCCTTCAAGCCTTGCCAGGTGCTGTATTTCAACAGGACAATGCCCGCCCTCATATTGCTAGGACTGTTCAATCATTCCTTGCATCGCGACAGGTACAACTTCTACCTTGGCCGGCGTATTCCCCCGATATGTCGCCGATTGAACATGTGTGGGATTTCGTTGGTCGGCGTCTCGCTCGTAATCCTCGTCCTGTTGCTTCTACAGACGAACTTTGGGTACGCATACAAACAGTATGGAATTCTCTCCCTCAGACAGGCATTCAAAGTTTGCTTAACTCCATACCACGTCGTGTAGCAGCACTTATTGTGGAGCGTGGTGGCTACACAGAATACTGATTTCGATCTCTTGTTATTGTTTGTTAGCTTTGAAAGTTCAATCATTTATTTGTACTACTACTACTCAACTGTGTATTATATTTCATTCAATTATGACGATTCCTTCATGGTGTTGCAATTTTCACAAACAGGAGTTTAGTAAAGATTATAAATTCAAAATTTAAAATGGTGCTTTGTATTTTGCTTCATTGCGATTGTAAAATAATATTGACTGTAATCTTGTCTCACGAATATCATCTCCGTGAAAAAGCAGAAAATTTAAGAGCTAACCGAATTTTTTGTAATTTTGAAACTATCTCAATTCGTCCCAATGTTTGATCCAAAATGCACACTGTTTTCTGAATTGGGTTTAATATTACAAAGCTAAAGTATTAAAAATCGACAGTCCCTCGTATGATATAGATCGGGTTTTCGAACCCGGCGATAAAATAAAATAAATCACGAAACGATTGGAGTTATAGTACATCTCTTTTCAAGCATAATTTTTGAGACGGACAAACAATTTCTTTTTCTATTTTTGATGTGGGACAAAAGTAAAATATTTCTTTTAAATGTCTTTTCTAGTTTCTTATTTTCTATTGTTGATAAAATTCTTTTACCTCGAATAATCGAATTTTCTTTCTAGATGAAATATGCTCAGGTTTTATTTTTCAAATAAAAAAAAAATTACCCAACTACAAAATTAAAAAGAAAAAAAATGGCTACCATTTGCTTACGTCACAAGCCAACCTCCAAGCAGAAATTTCTCAAAAGAGAAAAAGGAGATGTTTACTTAAAAATTAACGAGAAAAGCACTTAGCAGGAACTCAACAATGGACAACTAGTCAAATTTTCCTTTTGTGACGTAGTTAACTGTTAACCGATCATTAAGCCGAAAAATAAAGCGTTCTCATAAAGTTCTCTTTTTTACTCTGATTATAACAAAAACCGTTTCTGAAACGTCAGAAGATGTTTTCTCTTTCTCAAACACACACAAAGCAGAGCTTGTTACGGTTCAACCTCTTTCGGAAAACACCTTACTAAAGAGGCAAACATAAACACTGAAACCGAAACAGTTAAGAGTCTTCGACTTGTTCACGTTGTGTATTGCAATATGTTTAGTTTTAATCATCAAGAAAGAAAAATCTCCCTATTTTTGAGCTGTGTCTATTTTCTTAAGCTGCGTTTATTTTCTTACACACGTTTTTTGAGCTGCGTCTTTTTTCTTAGACACGTTTTTTGAGCTGTGTCTATTTTTTTAGACACGCTTTTTGATCTGTGTCTATTTTCTTAGACATGTTTTTTGAGCTGTGTCTATTTTTTAAACAGGCTTTGTGAGCTGTGTGGAGAATAAAAACCTCACCGAAGAATTGTATCAAAGTTTTCTATTTTAACTGAGATTCACTAACCTTTTTTCATCTGAACCCAGACAAGTAATTGCTTTTCTTCATCAAATTTATATTTGAAGGAGAATACACAACGCTCTTCATCTTCGAATGTACACTTTTTCTCCTTTTCTCGAACTAATTAGAAATTAAAAAAAAAAAGATTTACACATAAAATTCAATTTGCAGTCTCTTCAGTACACAATGTGTTAAAAGTATTCGTACAAAAGTATTATTATATTTAATAATATTCGAAAATTTTGAAATTTAAGGAATATAGTTTTTGCATAATTTTAAAGAATGTAATTTTACATAGCAAAATACAAAATTTGTCCGACATCAGCCGAATAGTTCTTGAAAAATTGAATTTTAAAGAAGTCGTATTTTTAAAATTCGAATTCTTAGGGAATATTCGATCGCTTTCACTTAGATTTTGCATTTTGTCATATTAATTTACTTTCTTTAAGATGATGTAAAAAATTGTGTACCTTACAATTCAAACTTTTTTCAACTATTATTTAATAAAATGATAAAAAATTATTCATATTTTTGAAAAAAGCTATTTTTTGCATGAAACTTTCTTTGGATAAACGAATTTTATAATTGTACGCAACAATTTTTCATCTAGTTTAAGAAAGTTTTCGGGGTATAGTGAAATACGTAAAAGGTAAAATTTATAATAAAGGGTCCAAACTTTGAATTGCTCTCTTGACCAAACCATTGGGACCATATTTCAGTTACCCCCTTATTTTTTGAGAGTCAAAAATTTGAATCCGTCGAAACAAATTATACGTTTATTCAGAGAAAGTACGCTTTTGTATCTGATTTCGTAACTTAAAACATCGTCTGCACTAATTAATCAGCATATTTGAGATCACGCCCTAGAACCATTAAGATTGAGTTCTAAAACTTGGAAATCCGGTCATAAGATCAAAAATTATTCAGGGTGGTCCGTTTATTATTTTGCGCACTGCACAGTGTGCAAAATAAAATACTAAACACCTTAATAACTTTTGTTTATGCGATAATTAATATTTCACGGGATTGACCTTAAATATGCTAATTAATTAGTGCAGGCGATGTTTTAAGTTACGAAATTAGACCAAAAAAAACCTTTTCTTAACAATTATTAATTTTTTGTCTGTGGAATCGAACTCTTGACCCCCAAAATATGCGAGGTGCAGCAATCTGGAAATTATAAAATTCATAATTTAGTCAGAAGAACGGGCGAATTTTTAGGTTTTATAATGTTTACTTCAATATCTCTGGAACTATTTAGGAGAATAAAGAAAAAAATTTGAAGCATTTTTTAAATTTTTTTTCTAAGATTCCCTGCAAAAATAGTTTTATTTTTATTTAATGTTACCTGAAATAACGTTAATCAGAATAGTTTTATGGTAAACTATATAAAATTTAACGCATTTTTAAACTATTTATTTTAGATGACAAAACCCAGAAAATTTTTTCAGATGAACGAAATCATCTGAAAAAAATTTAGAAAAGTAAAATTGAGAGATTGCAATTTCTTTAAAATTTTATTTTTCACTAGCAATTAGGCTGGTTTTGTTCAAATATTATATTTTGTTACTAAAAATTTAAATAATATTTTTTTTTAAGTAAAAATCTGTACTTAACATCTAGAAAATGTTCTATCATTAAATTAAATAAAAAAAAAATAGGTAATTATAAAAAAGGTTTTTAACGAGGAATTATTTTTGGATAAACTAGTTTTAATACTAGAATGTAAAAGTTTTTAATTCGCTTAATGGTAAAATGTCCATGGTAAAGTTAACATTAAGAGAACACTATACTGTGGGGAAAATATTTAATTGCAAATTCTCTTTCAACTAGTTTAATGTTTGTTTAAAGTAAGTTCCGACAAAAATAGAAATAAACTATAAAGCTTCAAATTCTTAAAGTATGTTTTCAAAATATCAAAAAGCAAACTAATTATCGAAGAATAAGTTCACTCTACTCTCATTTGTAGTTCACCTAAACTCACTTTTCTCCAAACGTTAAATTTTAAATAGCTGTTATAAAAACTAAACTCAGTGGCACGACAGCCCATAGGGGGCCAAGGCCTTCTATGCCCATTTCAGTTTTCCTGACCTTGGGCTCTGGGGTGCAGGAGCAGATGTTCCGGCTAGGTGGTCTGCCAAAAGCGGAACCCCCGGTGTTTAGTTCTCAAGCATGCTTGGTACTCATTGATAGACCCGTTGAAGGGATGAACAGCTGAGTCAACCTTGCCCGGCTCGAGGATCGAACTCAGAACCTGTGGCGCGGAAGCGCGAAGCGCTACCACTCAGCCACCGGGCGTCAAATAACAATTATAGTTGAAAGAAAATTTGTCATGTAGCATGTCTCCCGCCTGTATAGCGACTTCTTAGTTCAGTCAATCAGGAATAACAGTCCGAAATTAGAGAACTATTAGAAATTATTGAACCTCCATTATGAAAGCCAAGAATTCAAATCCATCGAAACTTCTTTTACATAAAACACGTTTTTCTGCCTGATTTCGTAACTTATTGTTTACATGTCTAAGGTTAATCTTATTCTTTGAGCTGTTAATTTTGCATTAAGTGAGAAAAAATCTTATCATTAGATTAAAAGTTATGTAATCATTCAGTTTTTTTATTTATTATTTTACGCACTGGACATTATTTTGTGAGTTATTGAATACGATAAATCGAATGCATTCAAGTGTTTCTTTTTTATCGTTTTCTTAATTAAAATTAAAAATGTTTAAATGAAATAAAATACCTTCAATAGATTTGACAGGTAATAATTGAGTGACTGATCCACATATGCTGCAGTTATATTTCAATCCTTTCTGTTCCTCCATAAAACATTCGACACATTCCTTCAACTCATCGCACATTCCTGGACAAGTCTATCGATAATAAAATAAAATAAAAATTACCTATACCATGCATTTCTAAACCATAACGAAAGAAAACAGTCATGAGTTAATATTACATACATTTATCTGGTTTTTTAGCGTTCAATTAGGACAATTTTGTTTTTCTAAGAATTTTCAATAAGTTTTAAACATTTTTCTACATTTATTTATTTAAAAACTATCTCTCGGACAAAAGCCATGTATCAATATTAATTCGTGAAGCAATAGCTCAGAGATAGTTAGTTATTAATTACTACGCAAGTCACTTCTGATAAAATACCCCGATTAGTATGAGTTGCCTTCTTGAAGCAAACAAGAGTTCCATGACTTTCAGTTTTCTTAATGTTTTTTTCCGCATCACATTTAGTTTATAACACCGTTACATTTGCAAATACAAAGTTTTTATTATAAATTTAGTAACTTTCTGATGTTGTATTAACAATTTTATAAAATAATATATATATATATATCTATCAATCTATATATATATAT